GCAATGGGCAGATCCGGAGCGGGTATCTTGATACTCATACTTCTAATAGTTGGTTGGGTTTAGGTCGAGTAATTTATTATTGGGCCCGAGTCGATCCAATGAATATGTAATTTATGTGAAAAGTATTAGAAATATTCGTTATTTTCATTAAATGATAAAAAAAGAAATCACAATTTCATAAAATGTAGTTAAATTATTTGAGAAATTGAGGTTTTCACTTATTTACAACGTTATAATAGCTCAAATATGAGGTAATAAGAGGAAAATCTTAAGTACTTTGACTAAAATTACATGTAATTTAGGCGAGAATTGGGCAGGTCAGGGTAGAACGGGTCGATGAAAGGTATTCATGCCCGCCCCACCCCGCCTACGGGGTGGGTCTGACCCGCACAAAACAAAGTCAAACAGGTAAAGTAAAACGGGTCAGGTCGAAATTGCTAACCTAGTACCCTCCTATCATGTTTCTGTTTTAATTGTTGGATTATTGAAGTGAGCAATTTCGTTATCAATTTCACTCGAGCGCGCGACTACAGGTTAAGATCACGAGACACAACAATTTAATGGGTTAGTTATGTATGTACTCTATTTGCGTAGAATTCATGCCCATCTTAATGAAGGTAAATATAATTGGAGAAAATCTATAGACATTGATTGACATACTGGCAATATGAGAAAACAAAATTTTTAAAAATATATGATTGCTTATCACTAATATATACTTACAGAAGGGAACGGATCAGGTCAGTAACCCTATGGTAAGTAAGGGATGAGTTAGCTTGGTTACTAAATTTCTAGTAGCCACCTTGGCTACATCAATATCCACCATCCATTTTTATCTTTTTCCTATTTTTTTAATCTCACGATTATGATTGCTCAAGGATAATTTTGGAAACAAAAAATAAACCACACTGGATTATTCTATATATACACAAACCCTAATTCTACCCTCCTCCCACCCAACCCACCGCCTCCCACCATCTATTCTTCTCGGTGGTGCCGCTATCCCTCCCCGCCCCTCTCCTCACCACCCACCCCACCGGCACCCTCCCCCACTCCATCCCTCCACCCCTCCCATCCCCTCACCACCCCACTTCCCCACCCCGCAGTCCCCCCTCCATCCCTCCACCTCACCCACTAGCCATTCCCCTCACCATCCCATCTCAATCGCGTCTCCACTAGCCATTCCCCAGGACAACCAAAGTGAAGTGTCTGAGTGATGCTGGCCTGTTTCTTGATTCGTAAGTTTCTAACCTTTCCTTCTAATGAATGTTTTGCTTTCCCTTCTCTGCCTCATGCTCAAGTCGTTCAAGGACTGAGATTTCCTGTAACTAATTTGCTTAGTTGGTCTCTGCAATTGGAAGGAGGAATTCCATTGGAATGGTATGTTTTTTTTTTAAATGGTAGTCATTTTTTTCAGTAGTGATTTTTTTTAAATGGTAGTCATTTTTTTCGTAGTGGTAGTGTTATTGTCGTATTGGTATAGTTTTTGTCGCATTGGTATTATTTTTGTCGCATTGGTATTGATTTTGTCGCATTGGTATTGATTTTGTTACATTGGTATTGATTTTGTCGCATTGGTAGTGATTAAATCTGCAATGGTATTGATGTTTTGTGAAATGGTAGTGTTTTTATTTCTTGAGTGGTATTGATGTTTTGTGAAATGGTAGTGTTTTTATTTCTTGAATGGTAGTTTTCGTGTAATGGTATAAATTTAATTCTGCAATTGTAGTTTTCGTGTAATGGTAAAGATTTATTTCTGCAATGGTATTGATATTTTTCAAAGTGGTAGTGTTTGTCTAATGGATTGGTACTGATTTCGTTTTTTTTTTTTTTGCAGAAAGATTGAGAAAAATATGGAAAGGAAATCTGGCTGGAGATTACGGAAGTGAGAGAAAGAGAGATTTTTAATTAATAGATTTTTGTAACTACCTTAAATGTAATTTATTAAAAAATTAATTAATATAATTTATTTTTCCATACCCAATTTACCCTTAGTAACCACGGTGATTACTACAAAGTAGTAATCACCGTAACCTGTCCCTGGTAAGTAAACATGAGTAACCCGTCTACATCAGCATGACATCAGTATCTCTCTATCTCCTGGAAAGTCTTTTATCTTTTCTCCTTTAATCTTTAACGGATGATTTCTCTCTTGTTTTAAGTCAAAATTTAATTTTTTTTGCATAGATAAATCAGAATAAATGTGCTCTTTAAAATGATATCCACTTTGATATATTTTTAGTACAAAAAAATTGAATACTTTTTTACAAGTCATTACCATATGATATACTCATATTTAGTACCATATGGTAAGAAAGCGTATCATGATGGTATGAACATACCAATATGGTAAGAATGTTGAATACATGATAGTAGGAGTATATTAACTATCATTTACGACTTTCATCATTGTTTACTACAAGTTACCACCCACATACCATAGTGGTAAAGTATGGTAATTTTTTGTCCAATATTTTTTTCACTCGGAAATTTATAGATCCAATAGATCATGATGAACTCATTCCTTCTGAGCAAACGTTTTCAAAAACGACTTAAAAGCAAAGAAGTTACCATATGGTATGTAGTTGGTAAAAAAAAGTTTCTCGAAATATATTGAAAATTGATCTCATTTTTTAGAACACAACGAACTCGTTCTATCTGTGCAAAAAAAATTGAAATCCGAGTTAGAACGAAGAAGATAAGAGCAGATTAAGAAAACTAGGGAAAATAAAATGTCTTTAATTGACAACCGTTAGATCTGAATTCTCTGGACCCACTTAAATATAAAGGTCCAGATTTAGTTACTCATAAATTAGTAACCAATGGTTACTTAACCTCTATTCTAAGCGCTACAGAATATACAAAATTGTTATCCATTTTCTTTTTGATGGTTAACGTACGTCATAGAGTTTGTATTAGGCAGCCCAAAATTAAATCATTATAGCATAACTGTCAATTAAAAAAAAATGTAGGAAATATTTCACCAAAATGTATAAATATAGAGAAATGAATGCTAAGTAGCTAGCAGATAAGGCAAATAAACAAAGAACTCCGTCTTCGCCGCCGTTTGTTTCTCTTACCGAAAAACACCATTAAATTCCGGGCCGTTGCTTGCTGGATCTCCGTTCCGTGTACGACGGTGTATGAGGAAGAACGAAGAAGAAGAAGAAGGATTCTTATTAATATTATAGTCTATAGAGTGCCTGCCACTTTGTACTTGCGTACCTGTGGATCAATCAAATCCCAACGGGAAGAACAGTACATATAGACAGTTGTATGTATCTTTTTGTTTTTACTTTCAAATAGACAGTAACTAGCGTGGGGCCGTGGGCCCACCATTTGGCTGGAGGAAGGTGAGGTATGAAATTTGATAATGTAATGGGATGTATAGTTTATTGTTGTATAGTTTTTGTTGGGATACACGTGATAAAAATAGTGAATTTTAGTAGGAAAGAGACATGAATGATGTAACGAATCAAAAATTAGCCTTATGAACCAAAATCAAGTACATGTTACCTTGTGAAACAATATTGTTTCTGGTAATATTGTGAGGTGAAGTAAGTTTTATAGAAACCAAATTCCAGAAAATCGAATAAAAAATTGCATATCCCGCTGGTTTTCGGGAAATGCGCATCTCACAATCGTTGCTAGCTTTTACTCGGCCTGTTGGCCGATTAATTTGCTTTATAAAACTTTCATCTTATCATCATTGTGCTTTCTAGTTTTTTGCCAAACCATGATAAAATCTAAAGAAATCAAGAATGAACAACACGATTTGGGATAGGAACCACCGTTCCTGTATCCGTAGAAAATGGTGGTAAACACGGACTCACCTGCCAAACTGGTTTGGATTGAGATTTTTATCGGGTATCATGAAACCATGTGATTATAAATTAGATTGATCAAAACGGGCCAAAACTTGAAATTCAGCCTGTTTGACCAACCCATGTCCAACTCTAATTATTCTTTACTTTTAAACTTTCTATTGAAAATAAAAAAAATAATGAAAGAAAAGAGATGACTGCAATTCGTCATTTGCACATCACTGATTTGGGAATAAAACTATAGAATTTTGAAAGGAAACTGAAAATGTTTAGGATCGTTTTAATGTTAAAAATAACCAAATAGATCTTTCTGTTTAGTTTTTTACTAAAAAATACCAAACGATTCTCTATAATATACACTATAATTTAATCATTATGATATCAAATAATTACATAATATATATTTGAAATGATAATAATTGGACTAATTGGGTTGGTCGAGGTTGAACCATTGAAGAACTTTAAAATATATTATATTTTAGCCACTAAGATGTAAAATAATAGCATAATATATATTATGCTAGAGAAAATAGCTTGTTTTAGAATGGCAAACCCATGATGTTCATTTGTTTTACTTGATGGGCAAATCCCGTGTAGGTCAGACTCATTCAACTCTTTTATTTTATGATTAGCGGTTAGCCCATTAGAATCCATGCATTAGTTTATTGTTAATTTTTTTTTCTTTTTAGCAATAAAAAGGAGTATTTTATTTTCCTTTTCATATATATTTTACCACCACGGAGAAATAAAAGGACTTAAAGAAAAAAATTGGCACTCCTGGACCCGTTTAAATCCGCATGTGTATGGTAAGTTGGCCCGTTCCACAGAGGAAAAAGAAAAAATTGACACTCCCTATTCTACCCTTCCTACAAACGCACTTGGAGTAGGGAATTTGAAATGGGGGAAGAGTTTTTTCTTCTCTGCCATTATATGTTTTTAATTTAAAAAGATACAACAAATGTACTTAGTGTGATTGGTTATGATCTTTACTTTTCTTTAAAATGATCATGATTCGAATCCTAGTAAGTGTCTTTTTAATGAATAAAAAAAGCAATTGTGAAAACCAAAATGTCCTTCCTACTTTCACTCTGGATGCATGAAATGTGAAATGGAGGTTAAAGTTTTCTCATTTAGCTTTTATTTTTTGTATAGATTAATTTACTAGTAAAAACAAATAAATTCTTAAACCTTGTATTTTCTTGTAGCTTCTTCCTTCTTCTTTCCTTTCTTGTAGTTGGTGTAATCCTCAAGATTCCAGAAGTGAACAAATTAGTTGCCGAATAAAGTTGGGCTGCTAATCCATTTTAACCAAGCCCACCAAAGGATCGGAAGAAGGAACCCATGTAGCTAATTACCCTGGCCACAGCCTCAAGTTAACTAATAAGGTGAAGCTAAATGGTGTAGATACGGCCTAAGTTCAGGTCCTTAAGGCCTTTTTTTTAAGAAGGAACTTAAAGCCTTCTGATTGGCTAATTCTAGATTAGGTAGTTAGTAGGGAGTTATTAGTTAAAAAGTTGTTAGGGGTATTAAGGAGAATACAATTAAATTAAAACATGCGTATTTTTTTTTTTTTCAAAAACCCTAACCCATTGCTGTCGTCTGTTTCAAAAACCCATCCGTCTCCCCCGACTCTCTCCGCCTGTCGTCCCAACTGCTCGGTCCGCCTCCCTTCTCCCCAACTTCTCCGGCTGTCGTCCATTGTTCGGTCCGCCTCCCTTCTCCGTCCCAATCGTGAGTGCTAGCCGACGACGTTTGCAGAGGACAGCTTGGTCGTTGTTCGGTCCGTCGGCAGAGGACAGCAGCAAGTCGTTCGGTCCGCCTCCATTCTCCGTCCGTTGTTCGGCAGAGGACAGCCAGTCGTCGTCCATTCTCCGTCGTTTCCGTCCATTCTCAGTCGTCGTCTATTCTTCGGTCCGCCTCCATTCTTCGTCGGCGGCAGCAGCCTTCGCAAAGCACAGCAGCCGGCGGCGTGATCTCTTTTCAACTCTCAGTCTTTCGTCGGCGCCGTTTAAAGATATATTTTCGTATTCTATTTTTTTGCCGGTATTTTGTGGTTTTTTGCGTTGCATGGGATTAGGGTTTTGACGGTGCATGAGATTAGGGTTTTGTCGTTGCATGAGAGGAGAGAGCGTTTGTAGAGTTTTTTCAGAGTTTTTTCATCCCATTGTTAATTAATAAATACGTGCAGATTTTTTGGTGTCTGTTATTAATTTATTTTGGACGTTTGCAGAGTTTTTTCATCCCATTGTTAATCAACATGTTATTAATAATTTTGTGGACGTTTGCAGAGTTTTTTCATCCCATTGTTAATCAACATGTTATTAATAATTTTGTGAACGTTTGCAGAGTTTTTTCATCCCATTTTTAATCAACATGTTCTCGTTCTCAACCTTTCGGCATCTTTTATTAATCATTCCGTGGGCATTTGGAAACCGTGTTGTTATTATATTATTAATGAATACGTGCTCGTTTTCAATTTTTTTGCTCTCTACTATTAATCTATCTGTCATGCAAGTCAATTATTAATGCTTTCGGTGCTTACAGTACTAATTCTTTGCATTATTAATGATTTATGGGCAATCATTAACAGAGCACAATATAGTTAGAAATATTAACATACAATATTAATAACAAGATTATTAATCTTTTCATCTTCATCATTAACATATTTACCTACAGTATTAATGATTGTATGGCCAATTACTAATACACAAAAGTCATTTCTTATGTGATAGTCATTTTTCATAATAGATTGGATTTTGTATTAATGATTATTAACTTTTTTGTTACCATTATTAACCTTTTATATTTAAGTCATCAACGGTTCTGCTACCATTATGGAAGTTTAATTATTAATACTTCAGTTACCAATTCGAAATTTTTAACTATCATGTTATTAAAGTTTTTGTTATCATTATTAACATTTTCCTCGCTCATTCAAATTGCAATGAGTTTCCTTTACTAATGTTTGTTTGACTGAATCACAGGTGCACTATGTCACAAGTGTCGAAGATCTTGAAGATCTATATTGTGATTCATGATCACTGAGAACGATATACAAAGCAATATCAATTGATTGCAAAATGTTAACAATGTCATTAGAAGTCATTGGAAGATGCCATGACTAGATAGTTATAAACATGAGATGAAAATGTGAATCATTGGTAAAAACTAAAAATATTGTAAATCAATAATATTGCACTACTCAAACTTTTAGTGGCAATGTTATACGACTTTAATGATTCATTCACAAGCATTGATGACAAAAATGTAAAACAGTAATAATTGATGATCACTGAGAACGATATACAAAGCAATATCAATTGATTGCAAAATGTTAACAATGTCATTAGAAGTCATTGGAAGATGCCATGACTAGATAGTTATAAACATGAGATGAAAATGTGAATCATTGGTAAAAACTAAAAATATTGTAAATCAATAATATTGCACTACTCAAACTTTTAGTGGCAATGTTATACGACTTTAATGATTCATTCACAAGCATTGATGACAAAAATGTAAAACAGTAATAATTGATGATCACTGAGAACGATATACAAAGCAATATCAATTGATTGCAAAATGTTAACAATGTCATTAGAAGTCATTGGAAGATGCCATGACTAGATAGTTATAAACATGAGATGAAAATGTGAATCATTGGTAAAAACTAAAAATATTGTAAATCAATAATATTGCACTACTCAAACTTTTAGTGGCAATGTTATACGACTTTAATGATTCATTCACAAGCATTGATGACAAAAAAGTAAAACAGTAATAATTGATGATCACTGAGAACGATATACAAAGCAATATCAATTGATTGCAAAATGTTAACAATGTCATTAGAAGTCATTGGAAGATGCCATGACTAGATAGTTATAAACATGAGATGAAAATGTGAATCATTGGTAAAAACTAAAAATATTGTAAATCAATAATATTGCACTACTCAAACTTTTAGTGGCAATATTATACGACTTTAATGATTCATTCACAAGCATTGATGACAAAAATGTAAAACAGTAATAATTGATGATCACTGAGAACGATATACAAAGCAATATCAATTGATTGCAAAATGTTAACAATGTCATTAGAAGTCATTGGAAGATGCCATGACTAGATAGTTATAAACATGAGATGAAAATGTGAATCATTGGTAAAAACTAAAAATATTGTAAATCAATAATATTGCACTACTCAAACTTTTAGTGGCAATGTTATACGACTTTAATGATTTATTCACAAGCATTGATGACAAAAATGTAAAACAGTAATAATTGATCCAAAATTGTTAATAATGTAATTGTAAAAAATTGAAAAGTATATTGAAAATATTAATAATGATTAGGTATAGTAATAATTATTTATTTCATAAATGTTGATAATGTCATTGCAAAACGTTAATACTACATTGCAAGTTGTCTCAAAATGAGAGAGAGCATGTATTTTTAATTTCATAAAAGTTAATAATATCATTGTAAAACGTTAATACTACATTGCAAGTTGTCTCAAAGTGAGAGAGAGCGGGTATTTTTAATTTTCATTTTAAGAAAGAAAAAACATTAAGTCCGAATTTATTAAATATTAAATAATAATATTTAATTTAATTAATTCTGAATTTTCTTTTAATGATAGTGACGAGAGAGGGTAATAAGAAGGTTACGGAAGAGAGAGAAATAAAATCATTAATTATTAGTATTAATTATATTTGCATAATACCCCATTTACCCTCAACTAACAATTAACTACTAACCACTATTAACTACCTAATCTACTATTAGCCAATGAGAATGACTTAAGAAGATGCTTAAACTTATAGGCTTAAGCACCAGATCCAACCCGGTGTAGATACTAGATAAATCGATGTGAACAACAACAAACATTACATAGAATAAGCAAAACCAACTGGGAAATTAAGAGAGTTCGAGGGAGTGGCCGAGAGTTTAACTACAAGTCCATTGGTGATCATGAAACGTCCTTTGTTAAATTGAATTAAAGAAATAACGTTAACCTAAATAGGGGAAGAAGAAGATCTTGCTATAACATCTACAAAGGACAAACTTTTATGGTGAAAATACTAACTCCCTTTATTTTGGTGAAGATTGAAAAGAAAGCTTCTCAAGCTAGCCAACTATGATGCAGTAATGCACCCGTGTACATGTACTTTCATTATAGGCCTAGTAGAGAGGTCTGTTAGCTACCTAACTATCAGGGAGTTAACACTACTAATTATGAAATATAGTAGTACGTGCCGAAGTTGTAATCATATTTTTTTTTTTTATAGTTATAGACTTATAGTAGAACAATTCCAATGTAAACTGTTGCAACTCATTCCGATACTAGACCCCTACATGGTTTAGCTCGGAATTCGGTCACGGACAATTAACAATGTTCAAGACTTCAAGTGCTCTAAAAGCAACAGCATAAACAAACCGAATAAAGCAGTCCGTCCAGCCCACTGAGAAGCCATTTGGGCCTGCGTCCAACACGAGAGCATACAACAACAAAACATGTTGGATAGCCCAAATAGATGATATTGGGGTCTATTATTATTATTATTATTATTATTATTATTATTATTATTATTTTCCTAAGGGGCTCTGTTAGAACATCTACAACAATGCAATCCTTCTTCACTTTCAAGTGTGGTCTCTACTGCCACCTAAGCAACTTTAGCAATTACTTCACTCATCAATTTCATACTAGCTACATCAATGTCATTCCAATGCAATTGCACTTCTGGGTCCCACTTACATTTTAATACCACACAAATGGTTGGGAAAAGAAGATAAAAAAGATTCAAAAACAAACAACGAACCCACTTGCAATTGCATGTCAAATTTTCATGGTGTGCAAATTTTCATCCCTTGAAAGTGGTCTTGCATCAATGCCATCCACTTTTTCAATTGCACATGGCTGCCACCTCACCTTGCAACTCCCTCCATTTGCATCATTGGAGATGCTCTAACAAATAGCACTAGGAGTCTAGGACCTTTAGACAGGAACAGGGACACATAGATATTCGTTTTTCACTAATTTAGCCATGGTGTTGACTGTTGATAACTCTCTTTGTCAAGGGCTAAAGATATAATGCACCCATCAATAACCAAATCTGGACCTTTCATTTAGAAAATCCAGATCTAAGGATGGAAAATTAAAGACCATTTTTATTTTTCCTAACTTTTTTAATCGGCTCATATCTTTTTCGTTTTAACTCGAATTTTAATTTTTTTTGCACAAATGGAACGAGTTCATCTTGCTCTACAAAATGAGATCAATTTTCAATATTTTTTAAGAAAAAAAAATTCTGGCCTCTCAGTACCAACTGCATACCATATGGTATTTTCTTCGTTTTAATTCGTTTTTGAAAACGTTTGCACAGAAGGGACGAGTTGATCATGATCTATTGGATCTACAAATTTCTGGGTGAACAAATTACATGACCAAAAAATACCACACAATACCATACAATACCACCATGGTACGGGGTGGTATATTATGGTATATTATGGTATTTTCTTCGTTTTTAATTCGTTTTTGAAAACATTTGCACAGAAGGGACGAGTTCATCATTATCTATGGGATCTACAAATTTCTGGGTGAACAAATTACATGACCAAAAAATATCACACAATACCATACAATACCACCCTAGTACGGGGTGGTATATTATGGTACACAATGATAAAATTCGTAAATGACTGTTAATATACTTCTACTATCATGTATTCAATCAACCTACAGTCTTGGTTTGTTCATACCACCATGGTACGCTTTTCAAACCATATGTATATTCTTATTTCAATACCAGTCAATACCATATGGTATAGACTGGTAAAAAATAGCTCAATTTTTTTTGTTCGAAAAATATATCAAAATGGATATCATTTTGAAGAGCACAATTAATCTGATCTAACTGTGCAAAAAAATTAAATTTCGACTTAAAACGAGTGAGAAATCATCCTTCAAAGATTAAGAAGGGGAAAATTAAAGGCTTTCCAGGAGAGAGGGATGCTGATGTCATGCTA